CTCCAGTGGTGAGCACAGATCAAAACTGTGCACGATCGCAGATTTCGATCTGTCACCGAAGAAGCTCAAACCGGAGGATTGGTCATAAGACACTTTTTCAGTGCTGTTGTGACTTTGAATGGTCGCTAAACAAATGATTGTAAATCAAGGGTGGAACCTGTATACATTCATACACACACATGCACTTTACCTGTATGTGTGTGTATGTGTGTGTACACACACACACACACACACACACACACACAGAGTACTTGACTTACAACAGTTTGCTTAGTACTGAAGCTACAATGGCACTAAAAAAAGTGAAAAAGTTTTTCACACTTATGACCGTTGCAGAATCCCCAGGGTTCTGTGATCAAAATTCCAACACCTGTCAACTGACTCATATTTATGACGGTTGCAGTGTCCTGGGGTCCCGTGATCCCGTTTTGCAAACTTCGGACAAGCAAAGTCAATGTAGAAGCCACGGTTTCACTTAACAACGGTGTTACTCAACAACTGCAGTGATTCACTTAACAGCTGTGGCAAGGAAGCTCATAAAATGGGGCACTTAACCAATGTCTCACTTAGCAACAGAAATGTCAGGCTCAACTGTGGTTATAAGTCCAGGACTACTTGTACCAGAGACTATTCAGCCTGATTTAAAGGCTAGCTGAAAATTTTCAGGCAGTAATTCTATTACGAACCGTTCCATACATGATCCATTCAGCCCAGGGGCGAGGAGAAAAAAATCAAGAAAAGAGAAATGAAATTAGAATAAAGAAATGATGCAGCCCTTCTGATTCTGTGCAAAGAAGTAGCTTCAAAGTACACAGGAGCACAAACACACTTCTACCTGCAGCCAGGATGCAGACCAGCACAATTTTCACACCCCCATTGAGGTCCTTTGGGGCATCTGATCCAAACAGTGGTGGGATTCAATTTCTTTTTACTACCGGTTCTGTGAGTGTGGCTTGGTGGGTGTGGCTTGGCTTGGCTTGGCAGGCATGGCGTGGCGTGGCTTGGTGGGCGTGGCTTGGTGGGCGTGGTAGGGGAACGTGACTGCAAAATCCCCAGTCCCTCCCCACCCCACTAACCTGCTTTCCAGCTCCGTTCTCCTGTGCAGGGCAACAAAAGAAAAACCCACCAATCAGCTGGGACTCAATGGGGGGCAGAGAAGAGATGGGGGCGGGGCCAGTCAGAGGCGGTATTTCTCAGTTCTCCGAACTACTCAAAATTTCCGCTACTGGTTCTCCAGAACTGGTCAGAACCTGCTGAATACCATCTCTGAATCCAAAGCTTTGCACATTCCTGTAAGAAAACAAGGTTCTGCTTGGCTGCAGCGGGTTGGCAACTCATCCTGGGGTTTTTTTAAAAACAGAGGAAGAGCACAACACTATCATTATATTGCCTGATATTTTGTTTCATAGTGGGAAAGAGAAAAAAGGGGGAACATGGAATTTTTGGAAATTATAAATTATCTTGCTGGCTTCTTGAGGGGGGAAGGGGTGTCTCCTTATTCCTTTCCCCACCACAAGGATGTGGGGGAAATAGAATTGGGGTTGATTCGTCATTGCTCCTGGACACCAGGCAACCTTTGTAATCTCTGATAGATCTCCAGGAGATTAAACGAAATACAGTAGATCCAGATCTGTTTCCCCGCCCCCCCCTCATGTTGAAAGGCATCTTTCCAGCATCAGATGTTGCATTCGCCATGTCTCCACATTTGCCCCAAAGGACCAGCATGTTTTTATTACGGCTTGCTGTATCAGATTCGTATCCATCCTTCCAGATGGAAAACATTTCAGCCATTTGATGTCGTGGCGATATTGATCTTCTTAAGGGGACGTTAGGGCAAGGGGAGGCGACGTGCTTGCGCTGGGTTGTGTGTTTGTGTGTGGGGGTGTGTGTGTGGAAGAATCTGAAAATAACTGGCTGTCTTCATTTGGAATTGCACTGGTGGCTGCCAAGGAAAAAAAATTCAGTAGCTTCTTGGCTGTTTTAGCTGACAGAGTTTCTCTGCTGTCTATTCTGCCTTCTTTGAACAGATAGGAGGTAGAATGGCTTAGACAGAATAAACAGGCCTTGGTAGGCCTTGTTCTGTCCTAGGCCTCCCCAAAAAGCACTAAGTCAATTCTGAGTCCCAGCAAAAACCTCTTTTATTACATTAATGTGAATTTATTTCATTCACAGTCAGCCAAGGGCTTGGCAAACAGTCTTGCGAAGGTATACTAATTAGTTCAGGCCTTTATCAATCCTGGAACGCTGCCAGGTAAAATCCCACACTCAGTGCTGACAGGGAAGGGCTAGGTTATACAGGCAAATCTTCACGAGGCTGGAACGAACGGACAACTGAACGAGCGAGTTGTTTCCTGCAAAAGGCCCCTTCCCTTTTGCTTCTCCTTTAATCCTGATGGGAGGGGGGCCATTCATTGTCCACCTGTGGCCTTACTCCCATGTCAACCCTGAGTTTTTAATTGTGCCTTCCTTTTGGCGGCTCTGCGCATACGCAGGCTGGGAACCGGTTCCAGAAGCTCCCCCACCTCACTACTGTCCAAGCCCAAAGGCGGCTGATGACTGCCAGCCTGCCCTGGCTCCATCACCGCCTGTGACGCAGAGCCCTCAGCCGAGCTTTCCTCAGCCTCCAGGACTGGCCCAAGTTCCTTCCCATCCTCCTCACTACTGTCCGACTCTGCTGCCAGCTCTGGTGGGCCACAACAGGTCTGTGGCGATTCTAAGTCATCCAGGTCATGGCTGTCCCAAAGGTGTTTTTCCAAGAAGCTTCTTGGATGAGAAGCGAAACGGTGTTCACGGAAAAACAAAGAAAGCCCAGTTGCCTTTTGAAAAGGAAATTTCTCCTTAGTTCTAGGTTAGTTCTCCTCTTGATTAGTTTCCATCCATTTATGCACAATGGTACCCGTAACTTTGAAATAAAAAAGTCACAGAAGACTGGGCAGCTTAAAAATAGAACTTGGAAGGAGGAACTTGGCTTTCTGTAGGGAAACTTAAATGCTTACAACTCTGATCCTCTTCATATCTCAGCTCATATGAAGAGGCTCAGAATTGGTACAGATAGTCCTCAGCTTACAACCACAAATGAGCCCAAAATTTCCACCGCTAAGCAAGGCAGTGGTTAGGTGAGTTCTGCTACTTTTTACGACCTCTTTGCCACAGTTGTTAAGCTGCAGTTGTTGAGCGAATTATGCGGTTATTAAGATAATCTGGCTTCCCCCATTGATGCTTGTTGGAAGCTGGCTGGAAAGGTTACGAGTGGTGATCTCATGATCCATGGATACTGCAACCGTCATAAAAACCTGCCAGTTGCCAAGCACCCAAATTTTGATCATGTGACTATGGGGAAGCGGTAATGGTTGTAAGTGTGAAAACCAGCAATGAGTCACTTTTTCATTGCCTTTGTCATTTAGAAGGCTCACTAAATGAATGTTATAAGTAAAGGACTACCTGCAAACACTGAAAACAAGAAAAAAAGACGTATAAAAAAATAACTAAAGAGAATGTATGCATTTATTTATTCATTGTGAGCCACACACGCTATATTTCCTACAGGAGCAAAAAGGTGCAAGCGCCCACCCCCAGTTTCTCCCCAAACAACAACCCTGTGAGTAGGCTTGGATTGAGAAAGAATTACTGGTCCAGGGTCTCCTAGTAAACTTCCACAGATAAGGTTGGCTACGGCACGGATCTCCACAATCTAAAGCCTTAACCACAATATCAGAAAAGGCCTGGAGTTTAATTCGGTTACCCAATGTTAATTGAGCTGCCTAGACTGCAGTGGCTGTTTTGCAAGGATTTCTCTGTGAGGGAATTCCCCTCACCACAGATTCATGGCCATGGGCCAAATGGGACTTTTTGGACACATTTTTTTGGTTTGGGACACTTCCAAGGACACAGTTTTCACACGCTGCATCTTGCAATGGATACAGGTGTTGCGTGCAATAAGGGAAGCAAAAATAGAACTTGGTTGAAGTTAGGAAAGTCATTCAACAAGCAACTCAGTGGCATTGAACCAACAAGAGGCTTCCAGGAGCCCAGGCCCTCCGTTTCTTGCACCTTATGAAAGGCCATGGTGTGGGGGTCACGGTTAGGGAGTTGGAAGCAGACTGCAAAGACCTGAGTTCCAATCCATGCCCACCTATTAAACTCTCAGGTGGTGACCGTACTAGAAGAGCACCGGTAATCCTTGATTTACAATCATTCACTTAGCAGTTTTGGTCACCACATTACAAAAAAAGATGTTGAGACTTTGGAAAAAGTGCAAAGAAAAGCAAGTAAGACGATTAAGGGTCTGGAGACAAAACCATGTGAAGAACGGTTGCAGGAAATGGGTATGGCCAGTGTAGGGAAAAGAAGGAGTAGGGGAGACATGGTAGCAGTATTCCAGTATTTGAGGGGCTGCCACAATGAAGAACAGGTCAACTTATTTTCCAAAGCACCAGAAGGCAAGGCAAAGAAACAATGGATGAGAACTAATCAAGGAAAGAAGCAATTTGGAATTAAGGACAAATTTCCTGACAGTGAGACCAATTAACTAGTGGAAGAGCTTGCCTCAGAAAGTATAGGTGCTTCATTAACTGAACGTTTCTAAGAAAAAAATTGGACAGCTATTTGTCTGAAATGGTATAGAATCTCCTGATTGAGCGAGGGTTGTGCTACAAGACCTTCAAGGTCCCTTCCAGCTCTATTCCGATCGATAGCTGATAAAAACTGTCCAAAGTTACAACATCACCGAAAAAGTGACTTACGGCCAGTCCTTATACTTAACAACTGCATGATTCACTTAACAACTTCAATAATTTGCTTAACAATGGTGGCAAAAAAAAGACGTAGAATGAGGCAAAACTCACTTAACAACTGCCTTGCTCAGCAACAGAAATGTTGGGCTCAATTGTGTTCATTAGGTGAGGACTACTTGCGTGTCTCTTTTCTGGGGTCGGGGGGCTTCTTTGAGTTGACCCTGAGCATCTTTGCTGATTTGTTCCCCATTCCCCTGCTTCTTTCAGGGCACAGGCAGAAGTTGGAAGAACAAACAAAATTCCAAGATCGTTATGGAGAGCTGGAAAGACTTCGGCACTCAATGAGAGTCACTCCTACGACGGCCAATTCTCGGGGGTCCCTCGGCGGCCCAGGGCACTTTGGTACACAAGCTCAGAGCCAGATTCAAGGTAAGGACTTGTGAGGTGTCTGCAGAGTATGGTTAAAAAAAGTCAAAACACAACTGTGACAGTGTGATCAAAGCTCTGCCTATTTTTCATTTGCATTATGTAAAATAAAAAATGAGGTTGAATTTCAGTGACATCATTGTGGTCATCATTTTGATTTTGGTGCTCCCTGAGCTTGGTGTCAGGAGTCCGGCACTTAACCTCATTTAAATTATGAGTCTCGAGCCAAACTTCCAAAACTTCAAAGGATTTATTGGGAGTTAAAAGGTTCGGCACTGCCTGGGTGTAGCCAACTCTGAGACACATCATTCATTGTCACCCTTGACCCTGGTTTTCCCTCCACCCCCTGGATGTATCATAATTCATATTCTCCAATGGGACACCTCCATAGCCAAGAGTCATCAGCCATGTTCTCCTGTTAGAATTTTGCGCGGCAGAAACTTCGGTCACCTAGTTACTATCTTTGAAAACATTTATGGAATGCAATTTCGCTTTGCAAGCTGCCGCACTGCTCCCCGCTCCCTTTCTGTTGGCAACTCTAAAAGACCATAGAAATATTTTATGAGTTGACACTTGGTAAGTATTCTTGCAGGCATTTCATTGCCAAACTAGGTAACATCATCAGCGCATCACACATTACCTACTTTGGTAATGAAATGTCTGCAAGAAAAGCTCAGAGAGCACCAAAAACCTCACAGTTAAGCGCTGAGCTGCAAATATTCTCCTCGCTTGATATTTCGACTTTTATTTAACCATAGTTTTATTTCCTTAATAACCAGCAGCAACATTATTGTAAAACGTTAGTCATACAATAATTTAAACTCTTGTTTAAATTAGCATCCAAATGCCACGTTGGATCACTGGCTTGAATCAACTGGAGTTTACTATCTCCATGGGCCTTGCTGGGCAGCCTTTGTTCTCTGTGATGTGGTACAGCATGCAGCTTGACATGATAGCTGGAGAATTCTAGGAGTTAAGGTCAACAAATTTTAAAAATGCCAAAATTGAGAAACGCTGCTTTAAAGGAGGTAATCCTCATTTAGCTACCACAATTGGGACTGGCCCTTCCCTTTGTTAAGCGAAGCAGTAGTTAACTGAAACCACTGATCTGTGCTTAAAAGGTAGTAAATGTAAGGAGTTAGAAGCCAGGATAGAGTTCAAAAGTACTATGCATTTATTTCCTGCTACCTATTCACAAGATTCCGATCTACTGATTCTCTCTACAAGTAAATCGGGGACAGATAAGAATCAATGGGCTCTAAGGGTGAGTGTGTGTGTGTGTGTGTGTGTGTGTGTAGGTCTCTTATGGGGAATAGGTTTCTTATGGCAGGGGTCTCCAACCTTGGCAACTTTAAGCCTGAAGGACTTCAACTCCCAGAATTCCCCAGCCAGCTTTGCTGGCTGAGGAATTCTGGGAGTTGAAATCCACAAGTCTTAAAGTTGCCAAGGTTGGAGACCGCTGTCTTATGGGTCTCTTATGGAGAGTAGAGACTCCAAACTGAAGATGCGTTGACCCCGCCCTTAGGTTCAGCCTGGTCATCTCCTACAGGACTGGTCACAAATTTACTTTTTTAAATCACAGTTGTAAGTGCAAACGGTCGCTGTATGAGGCAGTCCTAAAATGAGGACTATCTACAAAAGACAAATGATTTAGGGCCAAAAATGTGCAGAAGAAAGAGGAAGAAGCTCTGTTTGAAGTTAAAGTGTTTGTTAAGTTTGAAAAGTTTATGCTACCATGGATCCAGATATACTCCCCTATTATGCATTTTCCTTCTCCTCTACTGGGTATCCTTTGGTCTCCACCCACAGTTGTCTATTTGGGTAGCAGATGTTGCCAGATGCAAGGATACATCGAAGCTGCAATAAAATAAAAAGCCCAACCCGATCCATTGTTGGATTTTTGTGGGTCATTTGTGGGGGGTCGGGGACAGTGTGGTGTCCTCCATCAAGATTTGTGCAATGGAGGGGAACCTCAGCATCCAGGATCCTCTCAGCAGAATGAGCTGAATTGCTCTCAGATGTAGCAGAAATAGCTCATTCCACTTTGAAGAAAGCAGTTATGCTTTGGAAAAAATGCTAGCAACATTTATACAATAATCAGCAACAGGTTTCAAAAGCCACGATTACAATTTCTTTAAACAATTAATTCAGTCGTGTTGGTCTGAGCCTGGAAAGACCACACAACAATCTTGGTAGCTTTTGCCTTAACGCTAAACCTATCTACAGCTTCATAGAAAAGTAAAAGAATATATATTTACTGTATGCCTTTTATCCTTCCTGGAGGAAAGATGAGAGTTAAACATGAGAGAAACCATGTAAAGAGAACGAGTGTTTTAATGACACGGGGAAAATCTGCAGGGTATGGTCAAAATATTCAAGATGGAGGCCACAATGATGTGATCAAAGCTCCATTTGTTGTTATTGTTGTTGTTGTTCTTTTGCCATAGGCACCATTTTGACTTTTTCAATCGTGCCCTGCAGACAGTGGAGCAAGTGTTTCACTTATCTACAGCTCTTTAAAGCAGCTGCATGTGTTCCAGAAATGCATAATAGGACAGCCACATAAACCGAGACAAAATAATTTGACAAGTCAGTGCTATGCTGTCCCAAAGCTGCTCTGTCAAGAGGCAACTGGACTTTCTGGTTTTCCTTTGAAGACGTTTTGCTTCTCGTCCAAGAATGAGAAGCACCACGAATACACCAAGAATTATCTTGGTGCCTAGAATGGCCAAAGGAAACATGTGGTTTTGTTCTCTTCTTTTGTGGTGTTGCATTCCCTCTCTTGTTTGGAAGTGCATAGGTGGTCACTGCGCATACCTTTCTGCCAAAGTCACTGCCTGGATTTGGCTTTTTGAAAAAGTCTCTCTAAAAGGGTTTTCCCCATCTGCTCGATTTGGCAGCTGCAAAAAGAGTTTTCCAAAGGAAGCTGAGTATTAATGAAGGGAAAGTGACTTTTCTCTGAGGTGCAGAGTTTCCCCTTTCCAGAGAATGGATGGAGCCAAAATTATCTCCTTGGCTTCATTTTTTCCTCTCCTTCTTGTTCAGTAGCTCGTTACTGTGCACAAGATTTTAAAAGCAGCCTTATTGCTACGTGAAACAAAAAAAAATAGGAACCTTGGTGCTTTCGGAGGTTGGTTGATTTATTGCAGGCATTTCATTACCCAACCGGGTAACATCTTCAAATGCTATTTTATCCAGTTGGGTAATCACATAAAACCTGTTGTTGGCTAAAGAGATAAAACCGGGGCGTACTTTAAAGCACAGCAATAGATGAAAAGACTTCTGCTTTAATTCCACCCCCACCCCCCCCATCACCCCCAGTTCTCATTCCATGTTGACACACAAGAATTTGCAATGAAATTTCTTCCAAATTTCAGTGGAGTTCTCCAGGGCAGAATGCATTGCGCTTGTCCTGATGTAATGCTAAGAGTGCATGCGAAGATCTCATTTCATCACATGCTCCTCTCATGAGTCATTGGCAGCTTCCATGGCTTTCCATACTTCTATTCCAACTTACATCAAGAGGTAATGTGAGTTCTTTCAGATTGAGAAACAAGGCAGGTAGTCCTCGACTTACGACCACAACTGAGCCCAAATTTTCCGTCGTTCAGTGAGACATTTCCTCAATGAGTTTTGCCCCATTTTACGACCTTTCCTGACTCCGTTGTTAAGTGAATAAGTTAGCTGCCTGTTTGTTGAGTGAATTTGGCTTCCCCATGGACGTTGCATGTCAGGAGGTTGCAAAAGGAGATCACGGGACTCCTGGACATTGCAGCTGTCATAAATGTGAGTCAGTTGCCAAGCGTCTGAATCTTGACCACATGAGCATGGGGATACTGCAATGGTCTAAGTGTGAAAAATGGTCACTTTTTTCAGTGCCATTGAATGGTCACTGTTGTAAGTTGAGGACCACCTGTACTGAATACTAGTACTAGAATACTGCTACTAGTATGTGGAATAGAAAACACCAGGAGTAGCACCATCTACCTCCTCCAACAGCAAAGTCAGTTCAGAAGTGTAACTGAGATAAATTTTAAATCAGTTCTTGAAGTTCCTGAGAAAGGTCAAGGTTCCCCTCGCACATCCGTGCTAGTCATTTCCCGCTCTAGGGGGCCGTTACAAAGCCGAAGAAGAGCCAGCGCTGTCCGAAGATGTCTCCGTGGCCATGCGGCCGGCATGACTAAACACTGAAGGCTCACGGAACGTTGTTACCTTCCCACCAAAGGGGTCCCTATTTTTCTCCTTATATTTTTTTAACATGCTTTCAAACTGCTAGGTTGGCAAAAGCTGGGACACCTAACAGGAGCTCACTCTGTTCTGCGGCGCTAGGGATTCGAACCGCCGAACTGCCGACCTTTCTGATTGACAAGTCAGAGACTTCTGTCGTGAGGAAAAGGAATACAGGTAGTTTTCACTTAACAATCATTCCTTTAGCATTTAACTATCCAAAGTTACGATGATACTGGAAAAAGTACCTTAGGACTGGTCCCCGCATCCCCGTATTCACATGACCGCGATTCAGGTGCTTGGCAACCATGATGAATGCAGGACAGTCGCATCCTCTCACGTTAATGTGATTGCCAGTTGTGGCCTTTCCAGCTGGTTTCCAACAAGCAAAGTCCGTGGGGAAGCCAGCAGGAGGCCTCAAGTTGCAATTGCACCGTGTCTTGTTTTACAACCGTTGGGAGATTCTCTGAACAAGGACAGCCAAGATTGCCAAAACTGCTGTCACTAAGTGGGGCGGTCACTGATGTTTTCCTTAATGTTTGCTTTGCTTAGCGATGGAATTGTTGGTCCCGACTAGGATTATTAAGTGAGGGCTACCTGTATTGTGAAAAAGAGGCAGGGACAGCAGCATTTAGCTTAAGAGCCAATGAGAACAACAAGAGTCCAACCGTTCTGTTTTGCTTGATGGATGTATATAGGGATTCCTAGCACTAATTTGTTTTTCCTACAACAACTTTGTAAGGGTGGTTGACCTGACTCATCCTTGTGTTGACTCC